ATTATTTTCAAATAGCCTCTAACGAAGATTTTTCTGAAGATAATAGAACTATTTTTTCATTTTCTTACTTAACTAAAAACAAAATCATAACTACCTGTACTTAGTGTATGTATAACTGTACTGTATAAATTATTCGCAATTTTTATCAACAATTTGACCCATTTTCAAAAAACAAAAATAATTTATTTGATACATTTATATTAAATTAGTTTAAGGAAACACTCAAATTTGTTGTGCAATTAAATGAGCATTTATAACACATGAACGCAGAAGCAATTTTCAATCACCAAGTAGCTGTTAATATTTTGCGTTCAAATCCAGACTTATATTGAATCAAAAACAATTTCAAGCTTTACTTTTCAGACTAACCTTCAAATTCGACATAATTTTTTTAATCGCCGCCACACTTTGCAGTCGACATGGAAAAGCAACAACAACGATTTTAACGCACAACTAAAATGCCTCAGCCAGTAATTAGAGAGCTGAGCTAGTAAATTATACTAAAATAAAAATGAGGACATCGTAAATCTGACGATAATTACAATCGAAATTCCATATATGTGAATTGTGGAAACCGAAACACAATAACATTAAATAAAATGGGTGTGAAATATAAAGCTATCCAAAAATATATAATTAGTTAACAGGTGTGGTATAAACAAATATACCACATTATTTGCCGAAATAAAATTGAGATCTTTGTTTAAATGTGTTAAACTAAATTATATCGAAAGAGGCCAGTTTGCAAAAATGTACATGACAGTGGATGTAAGAAGTGAGGATATTAATTTAAATCAATCAATACCAAACTTTTGAAAAATATAATAAATAAATAATAAATGGGCCAAATAGTAAGAAAGCAAATTCAAACGAATTCTATTTTTCTACTTCTCATTCGAAATACTCCAAATGCAATTTTCAATTAGTAAAATAACTGACTGATTGAGAATCAAGACCGAAAAGTACTAAAATGTAGTAAAAAATTAATACTTTCTCTGAGACAAAAGAAATGAGCTAGAATTCCGAAATTTGGAATGAGAGTCACTACTAAATGCAGGATAGAAGTACCAAAGTGTTTTTGGAATCTTGAGCTCTAGAAGGGAACCATTTAATAGAGCTAAGCCCATTTAAAGTGATTTGGTATTATGTGAACGCATAGAGCTAAGAACTTAAAATTTGAAATGAGAATGAAGGTTGAAACGTTAGTTTGATATATGAAGGTGTTTTTGGAAATGGGTACTGAGTGTACTAAATGGTACTAAATTTTAAACAGTTTGGTTTAGGGTGAACAAATGATGACGAAATTTAGGTTTGTGATAATGATGTGGTTTTGGAAATGTGTAGTACAAGTGCAAGAAAAGTACTAAATAGTACTATATTCTAGTATTGGGTAAACAGATAGTGCTTGCAGTACGAAAAGTACTGAATGGTACTATATTTGGTATTGGGTGAAGGGAAACAAATAAAAATCTGAAATTTTATATTTTGATGACTCATGAAATATGTGTTTGAGATTTTGCGGTACTTTGGAAATGTTTCTAAAGTTTGTACGAAAAGTACTAAATGGGCTGGAATCGTCAAATTTGATATATAGGTCTCTGTTGGTATCTGGAATTCGGTGAAGGGATAGAGCTATTTAGGTCACTGTTGGTTTCTAGGGTTTATTTTGGACAGAAAATTGTCTGTGGTCCATTGTACAATGGTGTCACTAATAGCCACCTCGGTAAACTTCAATATGAAAGATTTTGAAGACTTTTCGGAATGAAAAATAAATTATTTTATCCGAAAAAAGAAAAACTTGATTAATATATAAATCGTTGAAAAGTTAGTTAGAGTAAAATTCTAGGGCAATTTAGTGATGTCCGTATTATGTCTGTCTGTTGAAACAAGTCGCAGCCCGTGTTTTTTACGTAGAGCTTCAAAGTTTGCATTGTGTCTAGAATGGTTGGTATTGAAAATGACGTTACCTCCCAATATTCGGAATTTTGGTGATTTTAGACACATTTTTCCGGGAAATCGCTTCAAATTTGGTTCTTAGAGTTTGTAATGGGTTCTACCTCCGAAAAGTGTCTATATATGTCCGAGATTTCCTATAACCGCCATTTAACGACACTCTTGGATACTCAGTATTTTCACAATTTTAGCCACATTTTCTATTGAATTTTTTAAAATTTTGCATTTATAGTTCAGAACGGGTTCAACCACCGGTATCGGAACATTGACCCACGGTTTCGACATTTGGTATTAGTTGTCGTTATTTTTGATCCACTGAAAAATCAGCGAAATCAGCTTCGTCAGCGAAAAGTCCACCCTAAAATTTTAGATTCATTTTAACAGTTTGTGTTAGTGACCTCAATATCAAATTTCAGAATTTCAGCTCTTTCCCTTCACAATCCAAAACAATATACATCTTTCCATCCTAGACACCAATAGTTATCCAAAATTGGTACCATTGGTTCTTTTCGAACAATTATAGTACGCATTTGCAAAAACTCCTCTATATCTCAATTCCAGATATCAACAGAGACCTCAATATCAAATTTCAAATTCAGCCCTATCCCTTCCGCCAATATCAACTCTAGTACCATTCAGTACTTCTTGTACATATATAGGACGAATTTCTAAATCCCAATTATTTTAACCTCAGACACCAACAGTGACATCTTTTTCAACTTTCAGGATTTCAGCTCTATTCCTTTACCCAAAACCATTTCCATATCTTAACACTCGATACCATTAGAGAACTAAATATCAGATTTAAGCTTCCCAGCACTATCCCTTCACCCAATACCAAATGTAACACCATTCAGTACATTTCGTACAACTATAGTACACAATTCCAAAACCCCTCCATATGGCTAAGCTACTCATGAACAGCGACCCCAATACCAAATTTCAGATTTCAACCGGCCCAGCCCGACTTTGGCTTTTTTTTACTGGTTTTTGTTAAATTTCGCGGAAATCGGTTAAGATATAGCTATAGCTCTATATACATATATTGTTCATGGGATTTGTTAAATTTCTCCCCCACAGCCGTTACATGCACTCCATAACAACGATACTCGGAGAAAAATATCAAATACATCTCAAAAATACTATTGCCAAATTTTATCGGTTCAGATTTGGATGTGGGTACAATATATATCTTCACCCGATTTCACATTTAATCGGAAAATGAAAAAAATACCCTGGACAGGCTCCGAGTCTGCGACACAGTTTGTATATTTCGAATAACGTGACAGTCAAAATTTCCTTCAAAATCAGCTGTAAATTCTTTAATATTCAATCCGATTGAACGAATTGAAATAGAAGGCTAAAATTTTGCACATAAGTGTATTTTGCCAATAGACAGGTTAAGATAGTAAATAGCCCTTGTCGTACACGTTTTTATATAGTCGCCAGATAACGGTACCTCTCAATATCCGTTATGATTTTAGAGAATTTATTAACCGGAATTGTTTTAAATTTCGTATTACAAGTTCGTAATATATACTACCGCCTATAACAAAAAATCGTCTTTATATAGCCCCCATATAACGAATACTCCCGATATTTTGATGATTTTAGCGACATTATTAACCAGAATTGTTTAAAATTTCGTAATTGAGGTTCGTAAGGAGTACTACAGCCTATAACAAAAAATTGCGTATCCAAAAAAATCGCAGTTCCACGTCTTCGGATGGCCCCCATATAACGATACCTTCCAATATGCGGTATTTTAATGTTTTTAGCGGACTTATTCATCGGAATTGTTTTAAAATTCGTATTTGAACTTCGTAATGGGTACTACATCCTATGCCAAAAAAAAAAAAAATACTTGTAAAGGAACACGTCTTCGTATGGCCCCATATAAGGGGTTTCATTTGTGAAGTTCTTTTCAACGGATTTTTTTTTTTTTTTTTTTTTTTTTGAAAATTTTTAAGTTCCTTTAAAACGGTAGAGGGTATTAAAAGATCGGCCAGGACGAACTTAGAAGCTTTTGTACTTGTTTCATATAAAATTGTGAATCTCTTTTATTTATGGAAGAACCAAACCTATTCAAAAATGTTTGAAGAGTTCTGTCCGGGCGACTTAGCCGGATTTCACCTATCGCCATCAAGAATATATTTTTCTCTTAGACCACAAAAACGTGTAAAAAACTTTTGTATATATCCCAATGACAAATATGTTACAATCACAGTCATATGACAATATTTCAATATTTTTATGACCAGTTCTTTTAAGCCATCCTACGTTTTAGATTACAAAAGAAGACCATGGCCAGACGGTAACCAGATCTGTCGAATTGCTGTTGAACTTCTTGTTTGTCGTCGGCATTACAAACAAATTATCGCCAATGTTGCTCAAATATTCATAAATTCTTCTTATTACCTAGACTTGAATAAAACTTTTAAGAATGGTAATAAATTCTGACTCCAATAAAAATTTCCCGACGCCAGGGTTGAACGCATTTAACCACAGTGCAATGATGGCTTGGTATAAAGTACCATTTTGTAATAGTTTTTTGTTTTCGGTACCATTACATGAGAGTCACCACCACATGTCTTCCCCGGGAAGACTTCTGTGCAGGCCATATTGCCTCACATGTAAATGGCAACACACAGCCGCACAGAAACAGACAATCGGGCCATGGATGGTTGGGTGGATGGATGAATAAATGTAATTACGCCATTACGACGATGACGGTGACGACGGCGGCGGCGATGTTGAGATTGTTACATTTTCAAGTAACGTTGTTAGCTGGATGGCTTGGCTGTTCGGCTGGCTGGCTAGATGACTGCCTAACCGGCTGACTGACTGTTTAGCTTAAACTAGCTACCTTACCAGCTAGCTAGCTGTTAGCCTAGATTAATGTCTTGCAAGCATATGGCAAACAGCGACTGCGATTGCGCACTGCGCCAATCTTCTGCATGGCTTTTTGTTTCTTTCGCTTTTGCTTTTACACTGGGTCGGCGAGCGGTGAATGTTGAACGATTGCCAAGTGATATAAAAGGCAGTGGTTGCAAGTTGTATGAATCAGTATCAATACGGATCTCGTTTAAAACGAAGCAATAGTTTAGTGTAATAGTTACTCTCCAACAGCTCAACAATGCGCATGGTAAGCCTCCACAATTTTTGGATGATTGGGAAACAAAAAACATTGTCCATGGACTCACTCACTCACCCACCTCCAACAATTGGATGTTGAGAAATACAAAAAAAAGTTGCACAACAACCCGGAAAATTATGAAGCATGGAATTCAAGCTTTTGCAAGCCACCAAACGATTTTCGCAATCTTCGAGGTTTTCCCATCAGCCGTGGGGGTTATGCAATAACAATTACAACAACAACGATTATGTATTTGTAATTCGTTCACTCATTTGTTTTTGTTTTTCGTTTGTTTCCATTTCAGTTTGTTTTTCCTTGTCTCGCCTTGTGCGTGGCAATGGTCAGCTGTGCTGAAGAAGTTGCCTCTGCCTCAGCCACTGCTGCTGCTGCTGCCAAAGAAAGCAAAGATGATAAAGTCGTAGAAAAGCGTGGCCTACATCTGGGAGATTATGGACATTCATACGGACATTCATATGGGCATCATGAACACCATGAACACATCAAGACCGTTACCATTGAAAAGAAGGTTCCCGTACCCTATGAGGTGGTAAAACACATCCCCTATACCGTGGAAAAGAAGGTACCCTATGAAGTGAAGGTACCCGTGCCAGAACCCTACATTGTGGAAAAGAAGGTACCCGTTCATGTCAAGGAATATGTCAAAGTTCCGGTACACAAACCCGTACCCTATACCGTTGAAAAGAAAGTGCCCTATGAAGTCAAATATCCCGTTGACAAGCCCTATGAAGTCAAGGTTCCAGTGCCACAACCCTACGAAGTTGTCAAGAAAATCCCCTATGAAGTGAAAGTACCCGTACCCCAACCCTACGAAGTCATCAAAAAGGTACCCTATGAAGTTAAGGTTGAAGTACCCGTACCCAAGCCCTACGAAGTCATCAAGAAGGTTCCCTATGAGGTCAAGGTACCTGTAGAGAAACCCTATCCCGTCGAAGTACCCAAACCCTATCCCGTTGAAGTTGAGAAACCCTATGAAGTCATTGTGGAGAAGAAGGTGCCATATGAAGTCAAATACCCCGTAGACAAGCCATACAAGGTGGAGGTTGAAAAACCCTACCCCGTACATGTCAAAGTACCCGTGCCCCAACCCTACACCGTGGAAAAGAAGGTCCACTACACTGTGGAGAAACCTATACCCTATGAAGTCAAGGTACCCATTGAGAAACCCTACCCCGTCTATTCGGAGGTGAAAGTTCCTCTGCACAAGGAAATCCCCATTCCCGAAAAATACCACGTTGAAGTGCCCGTTTTCGAGAAGCACGAGGGTGGACACGGTTACTCGCACTACTCACATCATCACTAAGGATTAAGGATTGATGTAACTTCATAACGGCTTTATAGCGTTAAGACCATAACTAAAACAAATCCCAAAACCAAACCCCCAATATAGCAACAACAACAAACTACAAATTCCGACAACATCATCTAACAAATTCCAAAGCACAGAAAGCGATTACAAGCGAAAAACGACACTAAATTGTTTGCAATTTAAACATCCAAGATGCAAATGAATCAAGCACGCAAAGTTGAGCTGGACGGACAATGGAGAAGTAGAAGAAGAAGACGAAGACGAAGGAGGAGGAGCATACCACGAGACAATCCATATTGAGAAGACTGTGAAAAATAGTTCCCACCAACAGCAAGGAACACTAAACAATAGTGATTGGACTATGCAGTCCCTCCGACCGCCGGCCAGTGCCTATGCCAGCCCGGCATGGAGTTGACTGCATAGCTCCGCCAACTAAACGTAGATTAAGCCAAATGTATTATTTTGTTTATGTTTTCCTTATTTAATACTCATGTTGACATTGTAGCTTAAGCGATATAAATATAAATATTTCTGAATATATTTGTATTTCCTTCTATCTGAATATATAAATACACATATGTATATATTAGTTAGAAATGAAATGAACTCTCAAATGAAAAGCAATGCGAGTTTTTTTTATTACTTATTTTTTGAATTTTAATTGGCACATCCATGATCAATTGCTTTAAATATCCTTGGGACCAGCAAATTTGGCATTAGAGCAATGATACCAAAAATTGAGCTAACCTAAAATTATATTGAAAGACACACAGAATTTGTGTGTGAGAGCAAAATATAAGGAGAGAGAGGAAATCTCAAAATCCTATGGGGAGACCCAAATAAGAATTACCAAAAAATGAGTTCGGTCGAGACGAGATTTGTTGCAATTTTAAATAATCATGAATCAATTGTCTTAAAATTCCTAATATTAAGGTCTGAGGCCTATTTGCAAAAATCTCTAAAAATACTAAATTATAGTTTATTCATGAGAAAAATATATTGGGACTATCAAAAAATCCACAATTAATTCGAAATCGTTATATTTAGAAAATTTGAAAATCTTAATCTTAAAGTTCCCACGGATTGTTTCTGCTCATTATGACCTCAAATACCAAACCACAGTCTATGCTTGATATAAACAAGTAAGCAAAGGCTATAGTCGTGCGGGGCTAACCATGTGATACCCTTCAACACTACAATTAGTTAGAAGTCCCCTTATGTCCAAATCCATTTTGGAAGATTTCGCTTTTGAAATTATGTGAAGGAGCACTGCCCAGATATTACCCTTAGCATTTTGACCAGGGACATTTTTATTATTTTGGCACTCCGTCTTATTTTGCGATTGTCTCCAAAAGCAAGAGGCTCCTCTGTATCTCCAAATTTAGACTCTTTTATACGATCTTCTTGTCTACGATATTTGGCTATATTCGTCAAAGAAATCAGCAAAAAAGGCAGAAGTTCACATTTTGTGTATTTCGGCTATCGCCGAACGGCTGCAAAATCAGGAACATTTTTAGTTGTTGGTCCATTTCAACCCCTAAATATATTGCAGACATCTTTGAAAACAATAGGTCTAGCCCTTCTGAGCCTAGCCCTACCCTTTTCGTGAGGATCGGACGATAATTGCAATCTGTATATAATATCCCAAACCTGTTTTGTAAGGTGGAAAAATGTTACAAAATGTACACCTTAATATTATAAGTCAAATTGAAAAAATCGCATGCGATAAAAAATATGAAATAATAAAAAAATGTCACAAAATACTTAAAAATCTATATTAAGACCATTTTTTACTTATTTTTATGCGATTTTTTTAGATTTTATATTTTAATGTCAAGAGGGCATTCTGAATTGACAAAATTTGTCAAAATCGGTCCAGCCATTCTTGAGATATAAGCATTCCATCTAACATTCCTTTCCTTTGTATATACACATTGTATATATTTTGCTATACATATCCGATATATTTACTATCGGCATCTACGTAACGGTCAGAATTGACCTGTTCGTCTATTTATTATTTCGCCGGGACTAAAAATATTCGCAATTTAATGGAAAATTTTACTTTTATTTATCACAAATGTTATGGTCTATTTCACCCACTAAATATTACCCAATGACCATCAAAATTGGAAGACTTCTAGCCGTCCCTAGGCTCTAGCCCCATGCTAACTTCCGCTTCGATTGGTCCATAATTGTGAACTGTAGAGCAACTGCAAAATCAGGAAATTTTTCAGTATTTGGTCCATTTCAACCTCTTAAAATTGTGCGATCATCTCCAAAAGAAATAGGGTTCTATTCTGACCTTAACCCCACCTACATTTTAAATTTCGTGAAGGTCGGGCCATAATTGCGACCTGTAGAGTGATTACAAATTAACATGGACAGACGGACAGACGGACGGACAGACATACATAGCTAGATCGACTCAGCGCGGCGAGATAGGAAGATCCATATATACTTTCCTATGTGGGAAATCAATATTTCGAGGTGTTACATAATTTTTGGCCCAATCAAACTTATAATACCCCCAACACAAAGTGTTGTAGGGTATAAAAAAAGTAAAATAGTAGTATAGTACAGTCGATTTTGTCAACAAATGTATTCCCCCAACCTTGAGTTATGATTATTCAAACTGTTAACCCTTTATGGGGAGGATCCGAAGCAGTGACCTTGTGACCCTTTGTGGGTACCAGAAGGGGTTGGCAGATATCTATCAACTTCACAACAGATTTTGCGTTAGCTAAAATGTTGGGATGTGGGCAATTTGAAGAGAATTCGCGTTTTATTTCGCGTTTCGTGATCGTTTTGGTTATTCGAAATTTTGATCTTTTGTGGGGGAGGTACCAAAAGGAATAGTCCGATCTTTACCATCTTTCTGTGCAGTAAATTATTTTCTTTGAAAATGTTGACATTTTATGTGGGAGTTACCAGAAGAAGTGGACCGATATTGCCTAGCTCCGAACTCGATCTAAATTTTGATAATAATATTATGATGTAACAAAGTTTGACCAAATCGGATACTCCCTTCGAGAGTTATCGTGCGCACCAGCCAGTCCGAGAGACAGACAGACGGATAGACATCGCTAGATCGACTCCGAATAGCCTGAAACGGATTTGGTACAAAGAGACCTAGGTTCTAAAATCGTTATTTTGATGAGGCACATTTTGGCCGTATCAAATGATATATACCCTCTCTAGCCATATGGATGAGGGTATAAAAATAAATTATCTTGTCGTCCTCCTAGTTGGGATTTGGTCAAAGTCTCAAACACCACATTTCAAACAATTCAGAGGGTTTGTACCGTTATATGGAAGCCGTAAACCAATATGGACAATGTTTTGACAACAGCCGTAAGACCCATTATGAACTAAGAATACAGAATTTTTAAGAGATCCGAAAAATGGGGCATATACCGTAAAAATTCCGAATATCTGGATGTACCTTTAAATTGTTGTAATTACAATGTTCCGTCACCAGATGTTGAGCCCGTACCAATACTTATACCAAATTTAAAAAAATTCGGAGAAAAAATATGTCGAAAATCATGAAAATGCCGAATAACGGGAGGTATCGTTATGTGTCCGCTACATAAAAGAGTTGACCTATATTTACAATGTCTTACTAAAATATGTAGAACACGTTGCTAAATTCTAATACTAAATCTGGAAAGAAATTCGTGAAAGAATGATCTAGAACCCATTACGAACTCCAAATACCAGTTTTTTCACAAATCCGAAGGAAAATTTTGCGTAAAATCATCAAAATGTCGAATATCGGGAAATACTGTTATATGGGGGGTATATAAAATGTTGTCCGATATTTCTTATTTTCAGTACCAATCATCCTAGACACAATACAAATTGTTCTACCAAATGTTGTAGCTCTACGTCAAATAATGTGGGCTGTATACAGATTTCAACTTAAAGACAGACGGACATCGTAAAATCGATGTAGAATTTTATGCTGATCATGAAAATATATAATTTATGAGGTCTACGACGAATATTTCGGGATGTTAAAAACGGAATGTCAAAGTTAAGGTATTAGTATTAGTCAAGGTGGAAGGTATTAAAATACAAAGCAGAAAGAAAACTTGAAATTGATTTTGCTTTCGAAATTTGCCCTGCCCCAGCTAAAGGAAACCCTCCACAACTCTCAAAAATTAATAGGCAGTTGTTTTCATAGATTTTTTTAAACATTTCATTTTTAATATTTTCACAGCACAAACCTACCGTTAATTAAAAAGTACAGTTTAATTTGCAAATTATTTCAGAAGGTCAGAAATAATTTGAATAACAATTTTTCAATTACCTCAACTTTATTATTCCTTGGTCTATTATTTAGATTAATTTCAATGCATAAACATAAATACATACATATGCAAATCACTGCCATTCGGGATGATTATTCTTACCCTTTTGCAACAGATTTCCTTTTATTCAAAACTTTATAACAATGCCAGGAAGTGTATATTTTTTTACGTTACTTTTTTTTTCAAAATCTAACCCAACTCCATAAAGCGAACAACACACAAGTCAATCAAAAGCAACAACACACATATGAGTTAGTGTGTGTGTGTCTGTGTGTGTGCTTGCAATAAAGATATTACGAAGTAAGACTTGTTACACTTTTTATGTTACGTCGTTAGCTATAGCCAGCTGTAGTATGTCTTTTAGTGAGACCATCCGCCTTCTCGCCCTGCCCGCCATACTGCATGCGTTGGTTTTACCACCTAACTGGTCAAATATGAACGGTTACACTGCAAGTGGCAAATGTTGAGCAGCAGCAGCAGCCACAGCAGCGAAGAGCTATAAAAGACATCCAACTGCATATTGTCGATATCAGTCTCAATTCGGATCTCGTCGAAAGCAAAACGATAGTTTAGTGTCATAGTTTCCTCTAACAGCTCAACAATGCGTTTGGTAAGTGATCGACCGACCGACCATAAACGGAAGCATTGCTATTGTTTAACCACAAAACATTCAATTTAAGGAAAAACTAGGAAGTGAAAGTTTTCCAGCTGCGATTGCATTATTAATAATTTCCTTCTTTCTACCATTGCAGTTTGTGTTTCCTTGTCTCGCCTTGTGCTTGGCTTTGGTTAGCTGTGCCGAAGAAAAAGCAGCAAGTGATAGCAAAGATGATAAGACCATTGAAAAGCGTGGCCTACATTTTGGCAGTCATCATGGCCATCATGAACACATCAAGACCATTACCATTGAAAAGAAGGTTCCAGTGCCCTATGAAGTGGTAAAACACATTCCATACACCGTGGAAAAGAAGGTACCCTATGAGGTAAAGGTACCTGTGCCAGAACCCTATATTGTGGAAAAGAAGGTTCCGGTACATGTCAAGGAATACGTTAAGGTTCCGGTACACAAACCCGTACCCTATACTGTGGAAAAGAAAGTACCTTACGAAGTCAAATATCCTGTCGACAAGCCTTATGAAGTCAAGGTTCCCGTGCCACAACCCTACGAAGTTGTCAAGAAAATCCCCTATGAAGTGAAGGTGCCAGTACCCCAACCCTACGAAGTCATCAAAAAGGTACCCTATGAGGTTAAGGTTGAAGTACCCGTACCCAAACCCTACGAAGTCATCAAGAAGGTACCCTATGAAGTCAAGGTACCCGTAGAGAAACCCTATCCCGTCGAAGTACCCAAACCCTACCCCGTTGAAGTTGAGAAACCCTACAAAGTTGTGGTGGAAAAGAAGGTGCCATATGAAGTCAAAGTGCCCGTAGACAAACCATACAAAGTGGAGGTTGAAAAACCCTACCCCGTTCATGTCAAGGTACCTGTGCCCCAACCCTATGTTGTTGAAAAAAAGGTGCCCTACAAAGTTGAAAAGCCCGTACCATATGAAGTTAAGGTACCCATTGAGAAACCATTCCCCGTCTACAAGGAAGTCAAGGTTCCTGTGCACAAAGAAATTCCCATCCCCGAAAAATATCACGTAGAAGCTCCCATCTTTGAGAAGCATGAACATCATGGTCAGGAGGAATACCATGGCCACCATGGTTACCACAAGAAATAAATTTGATATGTGGCGGTAAATTCTGAGAAAATAAAGAAGAACACGCAGCAAAAGTCATCTGTAATAGTAACAAATTCAACCTTCAGCACAAATATTAAATTTCCGAAAAGCAAAAAAACGAAAATCGAAACCAAGCACAGAACGCGATTACAAGTGAAAAGCAATATTACAACAAAACTCTTTGCAAACACCAACACCAAAATAGAGAAAAATGCAAATAACAGAAACAAAGCACGCACCGTTGAGCTGGACGGATCACTAAGGAGGAGGAGGAGGAGAAGAAGTAGAAGGAGGAACAAGCGAGACATCCATATTGAGGAGAAAACTGTAAACTCTTTTTCGAACAAACGTGATGGGGCTATGCTGTGAAGGGGAGGTGGCCTTCAGCCCCTCCCCAAAGCATAGTCCACCAGAAATTAGAGTAAGCCAAATATAATTAAATTATATAGCCTTATAAAATACTCATGTTGACATTGTAGCTTAAGTTTTTAAATAATATTTGTTTTGTTATTTTTAAATAAATAAATTAGGCAAGAACTGAAATGGGTAATGTGTGTATTTTTTTTAAATGAGGTAATTTTCATGAAATGGAGACGATTTTTGCATAACCAAAAAATTAGATTTTCTAGAAATGTCTTTTGAGAAATATCGAAAATTTTCTATTGAGTAATTAAAAAAAAAAAAAATGGCCCAAATTTGGTTTTACGTCATGCCACTTTTTTTGCAATTACATTTTTTTGTTTCGAGTGTTTGTCTGTTATGCGTTATATTTTTATTCATGCATAAAAGCAATAAAAATATATTTTTTGCAATTAAAAATATTTTCTCGAAATTTCCTTTTAGTATTTTGTAACAGTGGTACAAAAACAAGTACAATGGTGCTTATTTCGACTAATACATGTACGGAGTGGATGTTTCATCGTCTATGTCTTTTCAGCAGACATAAAAATTGGCAATACTTGTACCACATTACAGGAGACAGGGATATGCCGCATATTGATTCGTTTGAACTGATAAATAACGGATATTTTTGTGAGATTTTTATGGCCTCTACCATAGTATGGAGAGTATATTAAGTTTGTCATTCCGTTGGTAATACCTCGAAATATACATTTCAGACCTCAAAGAATAAAATTCCATGCCGATTTAACAATGTCCGTCCGTCTATGGAAATCACTCTAATTTCCGAACGAATTGATGTAGGTTGATTAACGTTTAGTTTTAGTCCCCATATAACATATACGGTATTTTCATTATTATAGCCACATTGTTTACTGGAATCGTTTGAATTTCTTAATAGGTACTACAATCTACGACAGAAAATTTTCTATATAGATCCAGGTCTTCGTATAGCCCCCATATATCGGTACCTCCCTATATTCGGTATTATTATGATTTTAGCCACATTGTTCACAGGAAGTGTTTAAAATTTCGTATTTACAGTTGGTAATAAGTACTGCAGCTTATGGCAGAAAAAAACATATACAGGTCCAGGTCTTCGTATAGCCCCCATATAACCGTACCTCTCTGTATTTGTTATGAATTTAAGCTATATTATTCTCCAGATGTGATTCAAATTTCGTATTTGTAATGGGTACTATAGCCTATGACAGATAATTGCCTTTGCAGGCCCAAGTCTTCGTATGGACCCAAAAGAGACGGTAACTCCCTATCTTCGGTATTTTTAAGATTTTAACGTAATTTTTTAACGGATTCTGCCTGAAATTATATTACAAATCTAAATAGCGAAAAAATTATCCATCAAATAATTTTTTTGCCATTTCACGATGCGTAATGTTTTTTGTTTAAATTTCAAATCGGTAAGCTCTTACACAAACAGCATCTATATTTTCATATATTTTTTCCTAAGCCTTACGGTTACAGAGTATATATAATTTAATTCGGGCAAAAGGTCTCTTTGAACTTAATCTGTTGTAGAACATTTCAAGTTGATCTAGGAATGTCCGTCCGTCTTCCATATTGGTGCCCTCTTTCTGGTACCTACCTCACAAAAGGTCAACATTTTCATAGAAAATAATTAACCTCTTAGAATAACAAATGACCATCCGAATTTGTTCAAACATTTATATCTGTACTAGGTCACGTGATATTTTGACTAATTATAACTTTTACAAAATGTGAAATAAACGTCCGATCGGCTTCAAATTTCGAATATATAAAGATGGAGTATGACGATGTAAAGAATATATCGGTCCATTTCTTCTGGTTGTGAGGGTCGCATGAAATGAGAAACCGATTCCCTTATAAATGTTCATATATTCAAATATTTATATCAACACAAGATCTTAATATCGATCCACCCCATCTGGTATCGTCCCCACAAAGTGTCACAATATTCAATACTTATGTCTCTCATAGCTATCAAAATAGTCTGCGATTATTTTCAAACTTGTTATATCTAAACATTTCTTTCAACCAGACATCGTATGTGAATCTAACAGTCCACTCCTTCTGATACCTCCCCACATAAGGTTAAAATTTTAATTTGCATTTTTTCTGTCTAAATTTTGCACTACTCAATATTTTTTATTAGTAATAGATGAAGTGCGAAAATTGAATACATCGTTTCACTTTATCTTAATTTTCCGAAATCATAACTTATTTCATATAAAGTAAAAGAAGTTCTCTATAGTCCAAATCTGGCTCCCTGTAATATTTATATCAGATTTATGTCAGATACGAAATTGACAATATTGGTCTTCTCCTTCGGCTCATAAAGGGTCTACAGCTTAAATAGTCATAATGCAAGTTTAAATATATTTAAGTCCTTTTTAAATTTGTTTAATAACTAACAGGATCGTAGCAGATAAAAATATTTCAACAAATTATTTGTCAAAAATATCTGCTATAGGTACTAGAGTGGATTAAGTAAGATTTCAACGTCAGGAGTTCATATATATTAAAAACAGCTTTGTGTCATAGGAAGTAGTACCCATCGGGAACTCCAAATTCCACATTCGAAATAATCTCGGTGAAAAATGTGTCTCAAATCTTTAAAACACCGAATACAGGAAGGTACCGTTATATGGAGGTTATTCGAAGATGTGGACGTGTATAAGACGCCAAAATTTTGCGAAAATACTTTGAAGCGGGGTTTATCGTAAACCAAAAAATAGGCCTACAGGACCTACATTTATTATTGAAGTAGTACAACGTTTTCTAAAAAAATATTTTCTTCTGTATAGGGCCAAGGCGATATGAATGCCTTAAAAAAGTTAGACCTAAGAACCCAAAATTATTTTTAAGATCTACAATCCAATTTTTTAGATCTACAAACCTATTTCAACGTGTCCATTTTTTAAACCTAGAAACCAACAGTGACCTCAATATCATATTTCAGAAATTCAGCTCTATTCCTTCACATAATGCCAAATTATGTAGTTTTTAGTTCTTTTCGTATAATTAAAATAAACATATCCACAACCATGACCTTCTCTCAATAACATACACCAACAGTGGTATCCATATCAGATTTGAAATCTATGCTCCAGTCCTTCACCTAAAAACAAACTTAGTACTTTTTTGATAAATTATAGTACACATTTAAAAAGCCCACCACCAAATCTGAACTTTAAAACAATTATAGTACGCATTTGCAAAACCACCTTCACATCTTAACCTCAAACACCAGTGACATCCATTCCGAATTTAAGGATTTTATTACTATTTTAGAGTTATTCGTAAATTTCGAACTTCCAAAAACCCTTTCGTGCATCTATCCCGCACTCCATAAGCGATTCTTATTCCATATTTCAAAATCCTAGTTTCTTCCAATAGTCAAACACAAAGTATTAAATTTTTTAGTATATTTCGTATCCTTTAATACGCACCGAAAAAAGCAAAATTTCAAGATTCTAATTTCAGTCGTTTCATATTGTTGTCTTTTGTGTCTTATAATAACATTTGATGAAAATATTTTTATAAAATTATAACCGAACATGACTAAATCGACTCAAAATATGATTTTAGGGAGATCACCGAAAGGATCTAAAATACATCTGCAAATCAATATGCTTCGCATAAAATCACAACTCGCCTTTAAAACGCGTTACCATAACTCCATGATAATGAACTCATTTAGTTAACATGGTTTATTTTCCAATAGCCAAGCATCTCCGTAATAAACCAAACCACATCTGACTAAACGAGGAAGTTTGATTGAATGAGTGCACACACAACACAACACAACGGACACACAAACACACACATACGTCATTACTTACATTTGCTTGCTTTCCGATGGGATGGATGCGAATGACAAACTCAAAACAAAACTGGAAAACTGGTAATTGGTTGTTTGGCTGCTCGTCTGTCCGACTTGCTGGCTGGCTGGTTTGAGACAAACAAAGATTACACGATGGGTATTCGCGAATTGAATTCACAACGATTTCATAATTTTTAAACTTTGTCGAATCGAAACTAGTTTTCAAATGCCGTTTGTGTTTTTTTTTTTTTTTTTTGTAATTCAAAGCTGAGATAATATCGTTATTTGCATTTACCGCTTATTATTTATTATTTTTGTTTTGTACTGCACCACAGCTTTGTTTGGGAAATTCCCTTAAAAGCGAATAATAATAACAATGCACAAACAAGTTGGGAGATTTTTTTGGTTTTCTAATGGTGTAACTATTTCGTAATTTAAATTATTATATTTTTCAACCACTGAGATCACTTTTTATTTACAATAAATCATTGGAAAATAAAAATGTATTATTGGCACTACGACAACTTGTTTTAAATGTTTACTTCACAGCTGTTTTATGGCAAAGCAAACTGTCAAAGAACGCCTGTTTTTGTGTTATTCTCCTTGTTTATTTTCTTCTATTCCTACACTTTTTACCCCTCTCTCTCTCGCAAACAACAAAACAAGACGTCACTCGAATTCCTCTATTCCATGGAAATGACTTTTGACATTACGCCTTACTACCAAAGGCAAACGAACGTAAAACGTGATGACAATAACAAAAACAGAAACCGTTAGTTAACATTTTGTTATTGCAGTCATGCGCCATCAATCGTACATAGCATCCACATCAGCTGGACAACAAAAACAAGATTGTTTTGTTCGCTACAACTCTGTTAAGAGAGAAGTGTTTGCCCATGCAGCACGTGATATTATTTGTGTAAGAGCAACATGTTGGCATCTGTGAGAAATGTTTGTGTGTGCGAGTTGAGTTTTCTCTTTGTTTTGCTATAAAATGTGTGTGTTTCGTTAAGTGTTGCCGAACATGTTGCTGGTGGCAGGCATGTGCATTGAAACATTTGAAATGTTGGGGCTTGAAATAAATGAGGTTTATTACAAAGAGAATGTTAATATTAATAAAAACAAGTAGGGAAAGACAAAAGTCGGACGGTACCGACTGAAACCCAACACCACTATGACTATTTGGTAGCGTTGGGTACAGAAAATAAACATACATATTGGCAATTTAGATGTTAATTGCGGCTTCAGAGCGGTTTAAATTTGAAATAGGTTAAAACTAACCTATAAAAGCTATATCTTAATCGATTTCCACTAAACTTGACTGAGGTAAATTTACGTTGTATGTGACCTGTCGAATCAAGTATCGAGGGACATATATATGGAAGACATATCCAAATCTAAACCGATTTCGACAAAACTTGGAAAAGGAATTTTAAGGATGTACACAATTTTTTGTACCAGAAATCATTGTTATGGGGTTTACAATACAGATTTGGGTGACTAAGAAATATAATCGGATGAAACATATATATGGAAGCTATAACTATATCTGAACCGAAATTTAACACGTTTGATTCCATTTGTGCTAACATTTGGTGAACAATATATTTTAAATCGAACGAATATACATATGGGAGCTACATCCAAATCTGAATCGACCTCAATAAAATTTAGCACAGGTATTTCTGGGCTGTATCTGGTACCAAATACCATTTTTGTGGAGTGCATGTTACGAATGTGGGAGACTTAAACACCGAATCAGATGAAATAAATATATGGGACCTATAGCTATATCTGAAGTGTTTTTCATCAAATTTTATATACAGGGTTGCCCATATTCGACGGACCCATCTGGCAACGCCATAACTTTTGACAGAGATGTCACATCGCTTAATGACATACCGCGTTTGAAGCGTCAGTCCAAGCAGATTTTTACCATGAACCAATACACGCCACGCGAGCGCTCTGAAATAGTTGAAATTCACATTCAACAGAAGAAGTCAATTGTGAAAACTCAACGTGCTTTTAAAACATTAAAAAATGTGAGAAGTGCGTCTTCTAAGAACACCATTGAGCGTTTATACGAAAAATGTTCGTCTGGTAAGGCTCTTTCTAATCCGAAGAGGCCATATAAAAGTCGACCAAAGCGATCGGCCGAGAATATCGCTGCCGTACGAGCCAGTGTTGAGAGGTCCCCAAGAACATCCCAAAAACGCCGTTCTCAGCAGTTGGGCATGGCTCGGTCCACTTTACAACGGATTATTCGCATTGATTTGCATTTGTTCCCGTACAAAATTCAATAGACGCAAAGAATGTTGCCTGCGGACAAGCCTCGTCGATTGGAATGGGCCCAAAGAGTCATGGGTCCGTCGAATATGGGCAACCCTGTATTTGCTTCTTGGCTTAATTGGGTCATATGTGACAAAATCCATTCCATTTGGTCATTAACCATTTGGTGCACAAAAAAAATATATGGGAGCTATATCCAAAACTGGACCGATCCGAACTGAAATTTGGCAGAGGCATTTCGATCAGATGTGCTGAAATCTATTCCATTTAGACGAAAATTATACATATCGCGCACAATAATATTGAAATCGGGCGAAAAAATATATGGGAGCTATATTTAAATCTGCAAATTGCCAGATATACTTCTACTTCTGAACCTGGCCGATTGTGCTAAAATGCATTTGATTCGGACTGATATTTCCCCTTTTGGTGCACAATACTTTTAAAATCGGAAGACATTATATATGGGAGTTATATCCAAAGTTGATCCGATTATCACAAATTTCTATTGGGCTCGTTCCTGGGAAATTTGTGGAAATTCGAAAATTTATGTCTGTAGGACTTTTGGTTTCAAAAGTGAGCTATATAGGTCTACGACTTGTATAACTCCCCATATAGCTGTACTTGTAGATTTATGGTATTTTGTTGTTTTAGTCAAAATTTAAATCCGAATTGGCAGTTTGTGTTATACCCATAGAAGGGTACCTCCCTATATCCTGTATTTCAATAATTTTATGATAGGCACCGCCTTCTCTAGGAAATAAGTGTTTCAGGGCACTAAACGCACCCCTACATCGAATCAAAATGTTCTAAAACTGATTTAGACCTAGAGTCTAAAAGCGGAATTTCGATGCGGCTCATTTTGGCCGCTTCAAATATAACCATGACTGGGGATAAAACAAGTAAAAAAAGACATTTAGTTCGGCCTGACCGAATTTTTAATTCCCTCAACCTTTGGGTAAAGAAAACATTTTTTGTACTCGCCCTGCTGCGAGCAAAGAACCATGTATCTTATATTATCACTTTATTTCTACAGACAATTGTACTAGTTCAAATTTCAACAATTTACGAGTAGAGTTTGGTTTGGGACACTGATTGTAGTGTATTTCTACTGACAATGTCGACAGTTGGCTTTTCTTTTATTGTCATTAAAACATATTGAATATATACACATTTTTATGTAATTTTTTTGTAGATCGCATCGAAACAACGCGTTTTTATCGGCAATTAATTTGTTTTGTGTGTTTTATTGTTAAAAAGGTGATTATTTATTAAATATATAAACAAAATGAGTAAAAGAAATTATAAAAGATTAATTAAAAAACAAAAAATATTGTATAAAAACAGAAGTTTGCAATGTGAACAAGAAAATAGTGAAAGTGAATTTGTGTCAAACGGTGGAGATTTTATAAATGATTTCGTGAAAAATGGAATGGAAGATTTTGCAGTTCCGAAATTAATGTTGCGGGACAAACTTAAAAAGTGGTGCATGGAAACGAATCCTTCAAAGAAATGTTTGGAAAGTCTTTTATCAATATTAAAGGAAGAAGGTCTAGATGTTCCGCTCACTAGAGAGACTTTGGTGGGCAGAGCAAAAAATATGTTAACGAGAAATGTTGCCCCTGGAATTTATTGTCATATTGGCATAGAAACACAACTACGAAAAGTTGGTCACATTTTGGAAAAGTATGAGGAAGTCGAACTAGATATAAATATCGATGGAATTCCACTGTTCAAAAGCTCTCGTGTGCAATTGTGGCCAATCCTTTGCAGAATCGTTAATATTCAGGAGAAAACAAAACCGTTTGTTGTTGGATTATACTTGGGAAACACCAAGCCGGGTAGTGTGAATGTGTATTTGAAAGACTTCATTGATGAAGTGATTCTACTAAAAGGTCAGTTTATCATACAACAAAAACATTTAAAATTGAAGTTTCGTTGCTTAATATGTGACGCACCAGCAAAAGCTTTCGTTTGTGGAGTTCCTGGACATACATCAACACATGGCTGCACCAAGTGTACTCAAATTGCGAAGAAGGTAAACAATGTCTTGACTTATAGTAGCGAGAGTGGTTCCCTAATCTCCGATGAGGACTTTGCTGTGCGAAAGTATCCATGCCACCATTCCCAAATGTTCAAAGAAGAAAAAACTCCTCTCGAAGAAATTGGATTTGGTATGATAAATCAGACTCCTTTAGATAGCATGCATCTCATTGACCTCGGAGTCACCAAAAAAATGCTAACCAGAATAATGCATAATAAAACTGAAAAGAAAACCTTAACAATGCACGACATATGGATCAAAATATTGTTCAAGCTAATAATTTGCTTCAATTATTTGTCGAGAACTTCTCAACTGTATTTGGTTCGAACAGCATTTCTTTTAACGTTCATAATCTGCTTCATTTGGCTTCTTGCGCAGAAAAGTATGGTCCCCTTATTTCGTTTTCTGCATATGCATTTGAAAATAAACTGCAAACACTGAAAAAACATGTTCGAAAACCATCACATATCTTTCAACAAATTATTCAAAAGGAAAAAAATTGCATGATTGTCAACACTATTCAGGATGGGTTAAAATATGAAAAAGGTGTTATCGTTGGAGCTTTTGTAAATGATTGCTACATATCCTGCAAAGAACCAGATAATATTTGCGCGGTGAATTCATGCATTCCAATAAAAATTGATAATATAAAGAAAAAGGGCGAAATATATATTGAAGGCAGTCGAATTTTGGCATTAGAAAGTTTCTACGAAGAACCGGTGAATTCTTGTGAGATTGGTATTTTCAAAACGAATCTGACTCTAGGGGAAAAAGAGACATTTTGTATTAAAGACATTCAGTTCAAATTTGTATGCTTGCCAATTGATTCTGATTTTGTAATCGTGCCCATTTTACATTCCTGCTTTCCAGAGAAATATCAAGCACAAATTTTTACCTCCTAAGTACACAACTCCCGCACATAAACATGTCGAACGAAAATGCCAACCCTTCCAAAGGAAAAATGAAATATTTTGCTCCACAAGGTAATCTCCAAAGATTATCACTAAATTTTTAACAGTATAACAAAATTGAGTTCATATTTTTGATAGCTAATGCAAAATGTTCTTCCTGCCAAGAAAATGCCAGAAAACTAGACACGATTATTGATATTTTGGCGGAGCATAAAGTTTTACTGGATCGTGTTATTTCTCAGAACGCATTTGTGGACAATATTATGACAATTTTTCCAATTGAATCGGAAGAAAAACTTCGAGAATTTGATCGAATTCTCGCAACACAAGCAGATCTATATGTACGTATCTGCGTTTTGGGAATAACAAATTCATAACTAAAACAATTTTTACAATTGCAGACTCGACAAATGAAAAATCTCATTGCAGGTAACGCTGAACGTAATTTGCATAAAGTATTTGGAAGAAATATTATTATGGATTTTAATGTTGACGGAACTTTCGGGAAAAAAGGTCTACGAGATTTTGGTAATGTACTTGCCGCCATAATAGGTAAAACGTGTTTGTTTTTGTTTCAAATAAGTAATGCTAAAATATAGTTTATAAAACAGAAGTTATATCAACATTTAATAAATTACCTGACAAGACTTTACGAGCAGCGTTCCAACGCCAAAAGAAAAAGTATTTTAAGATCAACAAACGAAGCAGGCGCACCGAAGAAAAGGAACAAGATGAAAATGATGAAGAACCACAAATTTAACTGAATGTTTTTATGTTATACTATATAATTTTAAAATCCTAGTTCTAACACTATTCAGTTTTATTAAAAATAAGACAAGGTTTGGCCAGCCTTGAAAAAAGTGAGCTATATATGTAATCCATTTCTTAATTTATTACCTTGCCTAAAATTCGCAGACTGTTTTAGATTAATTAAATATATTGTGTGTAGATTGAACTGTGCTTTACTTTTGTTTTTGTTACTTAATAACTGCGTTAAAAATGTAACGTTGTTAAATACTTATTCTATTACAAGCATTTTCCTAAAAATCTCAAATGACTATTTGGTTCGAATGCCTCCATATGATCTCGAAAGGACTAATGGTCTTCTAGTGTTTATTTGGTTCAAATGTCTACATATAGCTCAGGATACCCAATAAAATGCAGTGATTATTTGGTTCAAACGTCACCATATAAACTTAAAAGATCTAATCTTTTTCTAGTGATTATTTGGTTCAAATGTCTACATATAGCTCAGGAAACCCAATATAATGTAGTGATTATTTGGTATACACGTCATCACATAATCTCAAAAGATATAATCTTTTTCTAGTGACTATTTGGTTCAAATGTCACCATATAGTCCCAAAAGAACTACTTAGTCAATATAGTCAAGGTCTACTGGTACTTCTCCTATGACAAGCCTATGTTAAATGTCCATAGGAAATTACATTGGTTGTGGTATACTTTTTCACTAGTACTAGCGACAATGTCACCAGTAAAACACTACAATTTTACTAAAGCTGCTCGCTGCAGGGCGTATAAAAGTATCTGAATTCAAACGTGTTCCCCCTTAAACTACAAATACCATTAAGAGCGTTTGAGTAATGCTGCTAAACTTTTCAAAAACCATAAATATGGGTGAGGCCGTTATACAATTTTTACTTCAAGGATTGTCATCTACCAAATCTTCTTAAATACCAAATTTGAAACAATTTCGGGGGTACATATTTAATTTTAAGTCAGCGGATTTCGAACCCATGATGACCTACAAATACCTATTTTTAGACAAATCCGTGGAAAAATGTGGCAAAAATCACCAAAATACTGAATATCTGGAGGTACAATCATGTGGGGGCTATACGAAAACGTGGGGCTATATATACTATGTTACGCCACCGGAGCTAGAACCCATTGCGAACTACGAATACCAATTTTTGGACAATTCCGTGGACAAAAATGTGGCAAAAATTATCAAAATACCGAATATTGGGAGGTACCGTTATATGGGGGCTTTACAAAAACTTGGACCTAAATAAATTCGTGGAAAAATCATCAAAATAGTGAATATCCGGAGGTGCCACTATATTTTCTCATTTTCAACATCAACCATCCTAGGCACAATAAAAATTGTTCTGCCAAATTTTGAAGCTATACGTCAAATAATGTAGGATGTAACGTGATTTCAATAGACAGACAGACGGACATCTTTAAATCGACTTTATCCTTTCCAAGGTCGACGGTATAAAAATACTGTAAAACCTTGAGTTCTACAGATATGAACCAGAAAATTCGATGGAAAAATCAAATCAAATATTCGCAGAAAAAATTGAAATTTGGGTCAGTACAAAACCATGTATTCACATTGAATTTGTAACTTTGGGACATTATTTCGACTTTCTTCGAAATACCACTTTCTTAATGGAACTGACGTTTTTCAAAGGTGTCTAGAAAAGATGCCCTGTCTACTCGAAACGTGTCGCATCCTACGCAGGTGACAAATCATTGCGATGGCAATAAAATTGTTACTTGGAATTGTATATTTTTATGTTTTTATGTTTACTATTCAATATTCGGGGTTTTCCTCTGAGGTCGATGGCATCCAGTTTACTTATATTCTTGGTTTCATTATAACTAAGAAGCCATTAAAATAAGAGTCGTCGTTAACATTATTGCCACATCAATGACTTCGAATGTCGATGAACGAACCCAGCCTGAAGCTAATTATTTATTGCAACATAATGACAGGGAGAAGAAAATAGGACGCCTTTCCCCGACCAACCGACCGACTGGCTGGCTGAGTGGGTGAACTGACCAGAAGAGTACTTAGCCATTTTCGCGTTCTGGACAATAGGAAAAACATTACTTTTATTATTGTCATGGTGGTTGGGATGCACGGAGGCTGAGAAAACTTGGGGGTGGGGGGAGGTGGACTGTTTGTTTTGTTTATTTGTTAACACACAACAAATGCAATGTGCGGATGGATGGCCCAAGGAACAATGCATGAGATGGAATTGCATGGTTAGATAAATTGAGCTGGGTTGAGGTGGTCTCAGGGTCCATATAAAATAACTACTATTCGTAGTGTTGTTGCTGCTGTTGTTGTTATTGTTCTCGGAGCTATAAAGAATTCCATCTAAATGCAAATGTTTTTTATTTAAATGCGCTTCGTTGGTTTCACTTGTTTTCTTTTCAATTTTTGTTCAAAATATGTTTCAAATACACACACATAATAAAAAATACACAACAACAACAACACCAACGTCTATGGCAATTGTGCCACAATAACAACCATAACAGACAACTACACTGCAGACATCTAAAGTGAGTTGCTGCGACTATCTTCTGATGCATCCCATCCATCCATTCAGTCAGAATGCCTGCTACCTGTCCCCATTATGTTGTGCTCACCTAAATTGGTGATGGGGCATGCAATTGTTTAGAGAGTAGTTGACCTGGGTCGCAAAAAGCCCATATTAATTTCCAGAGTAGCATATATTAATGCAAATTTATTCCAGGAGCCCGGAGTTGCTAGGTATATAAAATAAATTGTTTTTTTAGTTTTTTTAATTTTAAAATTTATTGTTTTAAATGTATTGTGAAATGTGAACATTGTATGAAATATGTTGTGGAGTACTCTTCAAATTAAATTAAAATATAATTCTGACTAAGTAAGGGTTTAGTGTGTGTTCAGGCCATTGAATTCTTAAGTGTTTTAATAGTTTGTGTTTAGTTGATTTTTCGCATTTCATTTTTAGGAAATTATTTAAAGAATTGCGAGTAAAGGTGGAAATGAGTTATTTTTAGTGAAATTGCAGCGACTTTTCTAAATAATATGGGTTTTTTTCGAAATTCTGATATCTCGAATTCGGCTTGAGATTCAAAAAAGTTTAAATAGCACAAATGATAAAAAATCAAGCCCAAAATTTGTCGTTCAAAAAATTATATTTTTATACCCTCCATACTATGGTGGAGGAGGGTATTCCGTTTGTAACACCTCGAAAATTTAGACTCCACAAAGTATATATATTCTTGATCAGCATAAAATTATATGTCGATGTCCGTCCGTCTATCCGTCTGTGGAAATCACTCTAGCTTCCGAATAAATTGATGTAGATTGATAAAATTTTACTAAAATGTATATTATGTCTGCAGGACTTTTGGTATTGAAAATGGGCCATGTAGGTCCACGTTTTGGTATAGCCCCATACAACGGTTCCTCCCGATATTCGGTATTTTGATGATTTTTGTGACAATATTCATCGGAATTGTTTCAAATTTACTATTAAAAGTTCGTAATAGCCTATGACAGAAAATTGTCTGTGCAGGTTTACGTCTTCGTATAGCCCCCATATAACTGTACCTCCGAATATTCGGCACTTTGTTGATTTTAGCGACATTATTCACCGGAATTCTTTCAAATTTGGTATTTGAAGTTCGTAATGGACAACCAAAGCAGAAAATTTTCTGTGCAGGTCCATGTCTTCGTATAGACCCCATATAACGGTACTTCCCGATATTCGGTATTTTGATAATTTTAGCTACATTATTCACCGTTTTTTTTTTTTTTTTTGTTAAGTTTCGCATTTGAATATTGTAATGGACCCTAATGTTAGAGCTATATTCGGTAATTTTTAGGATTTTAACAGAATTTTTACAGATTTTATTGTTTTGAGAATTTCCAAATTTGTTCCAAATGGTGGAGGGCATTCAAGGAGGATATTTTTTACTTGTTTCGCATTCGAGAAAAAACATTTTTCCGCAAATGAAAAGAGATAAGGAAGATATTTCAATAGTACAAACTGAGCACAATTTTCATTTTTTGAAAATTTTCCAAAATTCTAGTTTTGTCAGTTTTTTCTTGGATTTCAAAAAAAAAAAAAATAGACAATGTGATGCACATCTTTCCTCCAAGTTCGAAAATTTAAATTTCAACAGACTCAACCTCATGGTTACAGACAGTTTTTGTTCAATTAATTGAACTTTTCGTACAATTACAGCACATATTCCCATGACCACCTCCATATTTTAACCACAGACACCAAGAGAGACCTCACCCAATACCCAATTTAGCACCACTTAGTACTTTTCGAACAATTATATTACGCATTTTCTAAATAATTACATAGCTCAACCTCAGATACCAACAGCGACATCTATTCGAATTTCAGCTCTTCATTTTTCCCCATAACCAAATTTAGTACGTTTCGTACAAATATAGAACGCATTTCCAAGCCACCGCCAAATCTCAAACACAGATACCATCAGTAATCTAAATATAAAATATTCAGAATTTTATTCCTATACCTTCGCCTTATACCAAATATAGAACCACTCAGTACTTTTCGTACAATTATAGTAGCATTTCCCAAACCAACTCTCTACGTCCAGGCTAACACCATCTCTTTGTCATAAACCTACCACTAACATTGATCCCAATATAAAATTTCAAAATTCCAGCTTCATTCTTTCACCTTTAATTCAACTGTTCCAAATTTGGTACCATTTAGTACAGTTCGCACACTTAGTACACATTTCCAAAACCTACGAAGGTGGTTTTACCAAATTTACAGTCCAACCTTAATTCTCATATCAAATTTTAAGTTCGGAGCTCTATTCGTTCATATAATACCTAGTGGTACCATTTTCGTACCTTAAAGTTCGAAATAAATCGATGCAGCCTTCCATCAGTGACTCTCGTTCTAAATTTCATAATTCTAGCTCATTCCGTTTGTCCAATACTTTGTATTGCTAGTACACTTTATATTGTATTGCTAATACACTTCCAAAAACTTAAATCTTCCAAATACATAATCACAAGCCTACCCACCAAGGCTTATGTAAAATTTCAAGATTCTCAAGATGTTTGCATATATTACC